GGAATCCATGTGGCTGGTCCAGATGACTCTGAACTTTGTGGATCTGTGGCAGTTGCTCCAAGAGACATGTGGCCCTCCCACCCACCCAAACAAGCTCAGCCATTTCCAAAGCCTCCCACCACCCGGTTGCAGCTACTCCGCCGCTGTCAGTAGCAGAGCGCCATGGGTTCCAGCATCAGGAAGCGGATGGTCTATGTCGATTCCTTCCCATATCTGGCGTGGAAGGAAAGAAAAAACAGAGTTAGAGAAGACAATTTCTGATCTTGCAAATCTTCAGTCGTACTTCAGAAAGGAGCAAATGTTACATTCCAGAATGACTCACAGTTGATTGGCCTTAGATTTTTCCCAAAAAATAGCTGGTGGGAGAGAGATTCCCTCCAAAGGGGATGCATGGACTCCCCTACCTTTGCTTGGTCCTGCGTGAGGTGGCTTCCTCTTGTGAACCTTTTGCCCACCTCCCTTAAGGAGGACTCTTTTCTGCTTTCCTTGGGCCAGTTAACCTAACCCTACCACCCTTGTAAAGTTCATAACACCTTTCTCCAATTTCAGGTTGAGTTGAAATAGCCCACTAAGCAAACAGGCACCAGGATTGTCTACCCCTACAGAGCTGAAGATAGTTGGGATTCCCATCTGAATGTCTGTAATGAATCATCACTTCACTTCCATTTATGGATATAGACGTTCTGTAAATATATATCCTGCATGTTTTCATTTCTTTTTTTAGCTTGTCCCCTTAGAATTTGGTGCTTTCTTTTTTGTATTTATTAATTAGAAAAAGAGATAAAAGAGGCTGTATTTTTTTTCTTTACACAAGCCTCCAGCCTTGGAAGGGGGGGGGGGGGAGAGTCACACAAGGGCAGTTGCGATCATCCTATCAAAGCCTGCCTGTTTTTTACATTGGTTGCATGAAGGATTGTGTTAACTTTTATTAATAAAATTGCTAATATTTCTGCAAAAGTCTTTTTTTATATCATTTGGCCTGTACAGGATGACACAACATAAGGAAAAAGAGGCAAGGAGGGAGAAGGGAAACTTAACACACTGGATAACTACTACGTCTCTTAAATTATTCAACCAGTGAGATATCACACAACGAGTATTTTTACTCGAGTGGGTATATGATGGCTCTACTGCATTCATTTCACTTTTAGCAGCAGTTACGTTACAAAAAGCATTTTTTCTATTTACGATATGTGTAATACCCCCAGCCTTCTCCATGTATTATAAGCAAAAAAAGATATTGCAGGGAGGGAAAGAGGGAGGGAGAGAGATATGAAACAGAGAAGAGATATAGAGAGATGGATAGAAAAATGGATAAGCAGGTGAAATATAAATGAGATAAAGAGATATAAAATGTGAAGATATAGACAAAAGAGAGATACAACAGAGATGAAAGAGAGAAAAGGTGGATAAAGATAGAGATGAAATAGAGATGGATGGATAGATAGATAGATAGATAGATAGATAAATAGATAGATAGATAGATAGATGATAGATAGACAGATAATGAATACAAAGAACAAAAGAGTAGCAGAGGCAGAAAACCTGTCCGGATGTTGCTAAACTACAACTCCCAGCAGCCTCAGGCCAGAGTAAGGGACGCTAGGGACTGTAGTCCAACAGCATCTGGAAATCTATGTTTGGCACCATCTCTAATTTTCTTCTATCATGCTCTTGATAAAGATTAGTGAATAAAAGAAGTTGACATGAGGATCAAGATGAATCCCCCTTGAAGGCACCAAAGACCTTAGCCAAGCTCTTCATCGTTTCTCCTCCTCAGGTTTTCCAATATTACTTGGGGGATCTCCATCTTCTGAAATGCTCCATGTAGTTGCTTTTAAAGTTGACCTGTGTTGTGTCAGACCTGGGCACAGCTACCCAACCCTTCTGATTGTGGCCCTGAAAGCCAGAGTGGAAAGACACACATCTGAGAAAGTCCTCAGTGCATCCTCAGAGCCAACCCAAGGACCCGAGTCCTACGAGCAAGGAATTCATGTTGCTTCCAAGGAACATCCTTTGTGTAGCTGTGCAAGCCAGTTGTGTGAAGGTGTGATATCTTAGAACACTTACATCCCCCATGGAGGACAACCCAATCAAGTATAAAATCCCAGCCATTTGAAAGAGAAATGGCAATAGACCAACATAAGGTTGACCTTGGGGAAGATAGAGATTGTTAGCAAAATGGGAGGTCAGCTCAAGAAACAAGACCACGTCAGAATGAAATTTAACTAGACTACCCTTGGCATGAAAGGAAGGGAGAGAAAACACCAGGCTTTCAAGATGCTGTAAGAGCTGGTCTCAGTGTGCTCTCCTGTATTCAAGTACACAGTAAATTGGAACAAATGCAAAGAAAACCCTAGGAGTTTATTTTATTTTATTTTTTAAAAACCTTTCCACTGGGTGCCTGGAAAAAAAGGGAGCCATGAGTCCTTCAGTGGCTCTTCAACAAGGTCTCCATGTTTAAATGCAGGGACATGCAACTGGTTGTTTAATTAAAAGCAGGGGGCAGATATTCAAATACACAGTAAATTGGAACAAATGCAAAGTAAAACCCTAGGAGTTTATTTTATTTTATTTTTAAAAAACCCTTTCCACTGGGTGCCTGGAAAAAAAGGGAGCCACAGAGTCCATCAGTGGCTCTTCAAGATGGTCGCCATGTTTAAATGCAACTGGCTGTTTAATTAAAAGCAGGTGCAGTTATTCAAGTGCACAGTACATTGGAACAAATGCAAAGTAAAACCCTAGTTTATTTTATTTTATTTTAAAAAAACCTTTTCCACTGGGTGCCTGGAAGAAAAAGGGAGCCCCAGAGTCTATCAGTGGCTCTTCAACAAGGTCTCCATGTTTAAATGTAGCGGACAGGCAACTGACTGTTTAATTAAAAGCAGAGTGCAGTTATTCAAGTGGGACTTATTCTTAATTTTAACACAAATGGCTATATACACTTAATCCCCCCCAGGTATGAACGTTTATTTAGTGAGTGTTCACAAAAACGAATTAATTCAGAAAGGGTGCTTACCTTCGTCATGCAAAACGGCGACCAACAAACAGGCCTCTGCAGCCACGTGGCTCGGAGAGGAGAAACCGGAAGTGGGTTGTGGGGTTTTTTGTTTGGTGCTGGTCACATGGCCGAAGCAGATTGGCTGATTTTTGCAAGATCTCTTTTGCTTTTGCTTTCCTGGAGCTGCCGGGAAGACCTGCTGCTTGCTGGGCTTGAGGACTAGAGAGCTAGAATTACTTCTGTAAGTATTTTAAAATATTCTTTTTTTTTTTACTCTGTGGAACTGCACTTCTGTCGTTTGCAATCCCTTTGGGAACTGCTCTGCTTCTTATTGTGTTGGTAAGTGCAGCGCTTTGCAAGATGGTTTGTTTGCATCTGCCTGACATTGGTAGCCTGTGGCTGCTGCTGCCTCCTCCTGTCCCTGGCACAGACCCAGCAGAGATTCTGCTGACCCCTTAACTGCAGGGGTCTTCCAATCTGGCCCTTGGATGACTTGTGGAGTTCAACTCCCAGAATTCCTCAGCCAGCGTGCCTGGCTGAGGAATTCTGGGAGTTGAAGTCCACAAGTCATAAAAGGGCCAAGATGGAAGACCCCTGCCTTACTGGAAGGAAATCCCCCACCCTCCACCCCAGTTTGGATATTGCCTGGAGAGGCTTGTGCTGATCGGGGGACTTTTTTTTAAAGGTTTTAAATTTAAATTGCCTCCAGAAGTTGTGGGTGTTCCCTTCCTGGAGGCTTTTAAGAAGAAACTGAATAGGCATTTATCAGAAATACAGTACACAGTACTGTACTCTCTTTGTGAGAGCAGTGGGTTGGACTGGATGACCTCAAGGTGCATTTCATTTCAGTTGCTGTTGCAAGCTGACAGTTCTGTAAACTCTACCCCCATCTCCCTCTGCATGCCTGGCTGACGCTAAAGCTAGTGGCCAGCAAGTGTGTGTATGTGTGTTTTTAAAGGTTTTTAATTTAAATTGCCTCCAGAAGTTGTGGGTGTTGAGAGGGCCAATGAGAGGAAAGGAAAGAAGGAAGGAAGGATCAAGAAAAAGAACAGAGGGAAGGTGGGAGGAAATATCAAAGGATGGATGGAAGGAAGAAAAAAAGGAAGGAAGGGACAATGGGAGGGAGAGAAGGCGCCCACCCCAGTCCCACCCCCCTCCACCAGAGACCCACAGATATCCCCCACACCCCCCACAGGCACCCCACAACCTGAGTGACGAGCTGGCCACACCCCTGCCACTGACTTCACTTGTCAAAAAGTTGCAAAAGGTGATCACGCGACCCTGGGACACTGACCGTCGTAAGTATGAATCAGTGGCCAAGCATCCGAATGTCGATCACAGGACCTTGGGGATGCTGCAACGGCCATAAGTGTGAAACCTGGTCGTAAGTCCCTTTTTCCAGTGCCGTTGTAATTTTGAACAGTCCCTAAGCAAATCGTTGTAAGTCGAGGACCACCTGTACTTTGTCATTTTTTTCCCTTTTTTGTTTTGTTTTTGGCCATCAAGTTTTTGACACCTTGCTAAGGCGACTGGTGGGACTCGGATATTGCTTCGCCCTCAAAGTGGTACCATGGGTGAAAAGGTTGGCAGGTCCTGTTTTAGGGCTACCCCTCCAAGAGAAGATGGACCAGCAGCCCTTCAGCAGCTAAGGGACCCTGGAGCAGAGCTGCGGCATTAAGTAGATACGGAAGCCGAATTCTGACTAAACCACGGTTGAGGATCTCTATCCATCACCTCCTCTATACAAAGATGTTGGCTTGGAATTTCTAGGCGGGACGTCACCGAGATTGTGTGTCTTTCAAGAGTGTCTGGGCAGCTGTTCAAAACGGTGGCCCAGGAGACCCACCTTGGCAAGGAGCGTGGCCCACCGTCCACACGGCCTCCTCCTTCCAAATTCGTCCATCAGCCACACCAAGTTCTCTCCTTTCTTCTGCTCGGGTCGCCCGCCGTTAAAATCTCTAGATCTTTGTGTGTTGCCGTTGACTTACAGGCCCGCAGGGAGAAGACTTGTCTTTGGCCAAAGCCCTGGACGACCGACAAAGGTCTGCCAGGGGAACTTTATTAAGGGAAAGATTAGGGTAAAGAGTCATTGGTTGTGGGTGTGACGGCAGTAGAGGCACAAAGCTGGTCCCCCCCCGCCGTGGGCTACCAGGAGCTGAAATCTCCAAAGCCGGCAGTTTTCTTCTCCTTCTTGCTGACCATGCTGGTGGACGGCCCGTCTTCTGCGGCTCGCTTCCTGCGTGACAAAATGCACAAGTCACACACACACCTCTCCTACAAACAGGCCCTGGCTTAAGGTCACATTACAAGCAGATCCTGGCTTAAGGTCACGCTACAAGCAGACCCTGGCTTACGGTCATGCTACAAACAGACCCTGGCTTAAGGTCACTGCAAGCAGACCCTGGCTTAAGGTCACACTACAAGCAGACCCTGGCTTAAGGTCATGCTACAAACAAACCCTGGCTTAAAGTCACACTACAAGCAGACCCTGGCTTAAGGTCATGCTACAAACAGATACTGGCTTAAGATCATGCTACAAACAGACTCTGGCTTAAGATCATGCTACAAACAGACCCTGGCTTAAGATCATGCTACAAACAGACCCTGGCTTAAGATCATGCTACAAACAGACCGTGGCTTAAAGTCACGCTACAACCCCTGGTTTAAGGTCATGCTACAAGCAGACCCTGGCTTAATTTTTTCCAAAAAGAATGGAAGATAGGAGTAGAAATTTACAAGGGGGAGAAAAGGATGACGCTAAGTGGCACAAATCAACTGAATTTCCCCCTAACTTTAGTCATTAAAAAGTCTTTCCACCTCGTCTTTCAGAGGAACCAATTGGGGAAAATTAAAAAAAGTGAAGGATGAAAAGCTCTATCGTCGTTTTAAATGGGAGGTCAAGAGAAGCAGGAACCAGTCCCCTTAAGCTATCTGGTCATCCACTCATCTAACTGGCTCTAAGGTATTTTCCTGAAGACAAAAGACAATTGAAGACAAAAATAAGTCTGTGCACAGCTTCAATAGGATCAACTGGCAGAGGGTTTTTTTTCCCTAGTCCCTTACACACGTAGTACTGCTTTATCCCCCTATAGAATAGAACCTAGAAACTCAACAAAAGGTCAAACACAACCGGAACTTACGCCGCTGCTATATTGATGTATTTCCCAACTCCTGTGCGGTAGGTTTTTGGTGTGGGAGGCTCCTTCTTTGGGATGTCTTTGCTTTTGGCCTTCATTGCCTCCTCTTCCTGCTGGGCCTTCTCCCTTTCTTTGGCCACCTTGGAGAAAGTGAAGGGAGCCAGGTCAATCTTCCCCCAAAGCCCAGAAAAAGAGGCTTTAAACAGGCCACGGGGCACTGCTGGGCTGAAAACCTGAGATGGGCAACAGCCGCACACAGTATTTATAGTTTTAGAACTATCAGGTGCCCAGAGTCACTGGCTGAGATGAGCAGAAGAAGGAAGAAAGGAAGAGAAAGGAAGGAGGAAGGGAGGGAAAGAAGGAAAGAAAGAAGGAAAGAAAAAGAAAAGAGGGAAGAAGAGGGGAAAAAAGGCAGGAAAAAAGAGGGAGAAGAAAGGAGAAAGAAAAATGGGGAGAAGGGAGACGGAGGAAAGGGGGAAAGAAGGAAGGAAAGAAAAACAAAAGGAAGGAAAGAAGGAGAAAAGAAGGATCTTTCTTCCCCTCTGTTGCTTCCTCATTTTTGAGAAAAAAAAGCCGAGGTAGGATGTGGCAATAACCACAAAAAGACACAACTCCTAGCAAATGAGGTTGCTATTGTGGTCGTTATGATGAGGACTTACCGGTATTCTGGGTGGCCACTCTGGCTGATGGCTTTGGAGAGAATGACAGGTAGAAACTTCTGATTTTGGGGATGAGCAGAGCGAAGGAAGGAAGGAAGGAAGGAAGAAGAGAGGGGAAGAAAGGGAGGGAGGGAAAAAAGAAAGAGAAAAAAGGAAGGAAAAAGGGCAAAAAAGGAGAAAGAAAAATGGGGAGAAGAGAGGAAGGAAGGAGGGAAGAGAGACTCTTGTACAAAAATCCCAGTATTTCTGTCTTTCCCACCAGCCCAACAAAACTAATACATGAGAGAATTTGTGTGTGTGTGTGTGTGTGAAGGCCGCACGTCAATTTTCTCCCCGAATTCTTTTGATAGGTAACTTGAAGTCCCTCCCTCTCACCTGGGCATCTGCCTCTTCGTATGGATCGACAAAAACCATCGTGGACTTGATTTTTATTTCCTCCTTAGGGGAAAAAAAAAAGAGAAAACGGGAAAATAAAACATTTTTCCCCCG